TGGGTCTGTCCGTGTCAGCCGAGAATATTGCAATAACGGCATCCCGTTATGCAAAATCGCATGATTTTGCGGTACATTTCCTTGTTCCAAGAGTGGCGGCGAGCCGCTATATAGCAGCATAAAGGAAAAGGAGAGAAAAAAAAGGAAAAAGAAAAAGATCATGCGAAGATTAGAGGCAGTCTGAGTTTGGTTGCCTAAAGTAAATGACTAAGGCAGTGTGCGGACTACGCGAAATTTTTATTGCGATTAGATCATAATGTAAAAAAAGAAAAAAAAGCAAACCAAAAATCAAGCGGACAAACGAGTCTGAAAATTTAGTAACAAAGTGAAATAAGCAAATACGGGTTATAAAAATAAATGCGTTAATGAATACAACAATAGTAGACACAACAATTACAGAAGGATTTTTCCATTTGATAAAGTTCAGCCACAATAGAGGAAGCAGTGGGCATTAAATGCTTTAAGTTTTCATAGTCACGTTCGTTAAATATTCTGTGAGAGCAAAGATAGCAAATGGAGCAATCCCCATCATATTCACGCATATTTTGAAGTAATCGTATTCAAAAATTTAAAGAAAAAAAAAATAGATTCGATTTAAAAACCTTCTGTGTGCCCACACACGCAGTATAAATTTAGCAGTAAACAGAAACAATGGAGAGATTTCTTTAAAACCAAGACTGTAAATTAAAGATGTACAGAAATACACTGTGAAAATTAAAGATATTAGTTTTGAGGAAGTGTGTGGAAGTGATTTCGTCAGTGGAATATGCTCACTCAAGGAATCAAATCTACAAGTAGTGTCTAAGAAACTCGACGGTGACATAAAAAGTTCCTCAGAATGGTAACAATTGCCTAAGCTAGTAGCCCGTCGTAGCAAGGATTAAAATCATTTCCATAGTGAGCCTTACCAAAGTGTGCAATAGGTCTGTTTATATTATTTGTAATCCCTGCATTCATGAAGAGTAAAAGCCGTACACACACATATAGAAGCAAAGTTTTTTCTCTTAAAATTGAAACCAGAAGCAAAGTTTTTTTCTCTTAAAATTGAAAACAGAAGCAAAGTTTTTTCTCTTAAAATTGAAAACAGAAGCAAAGTTTTGCTCTCAGAAAGAAAAAAAAAACGTCAGCCGGTATCGATGTACTTGCAATGAAATGATCAAGATTAATATATGTCCAAACAAGGCAAAAATGAAATAAACAAAAAAAAACGGGAAGCGAAAAGAAGCCAGGGCAATTGTAAAAAATGTTCAATTAATCAAAAATACCTAAGTTCTATAATTAAGTTACATAAACATGTATACGGATTCAATAAATTGTATTAAACCGAAAAATGGCTGAATAAAAAAATATAATAATCGTTATTAATAAACACATATACATATAAATGAAGACAAACTTGGCACAAGTGGTTAATAAGTAAAACTCGTGTTCTCATTGGAAATCAAAATAGCGTCAGTGAATAACGTTGCAGCGAGCTAAAGGGATCTGAATATATGCTTTTGGCCGTGTTTGCAACTTGTAATTCGCCACGGGATAACCACGAACAGTTCCCGTGCCCCATCATCCTCGTCATCAGCAGATTTTTTATTAATTCCGGCCCACGGAGCTATAACCGTGACACATATAGGCCGCAATTTTCACATATTTTGATCAAATTTGGTACACTGATATGTTTCTTCTCAACGTAAATGCAAAGCAGTCCTTTAGCGTAATAAGTATATAAGTGGAGAATGGGATTAGGATATGCGATGAGCGGAATTTAATGATCTGTCTTGCTCTATTTCAACGCTTTTACGTGCTAGCGCGTGGGAATTTATAAAATTCTTCCGAAATTTAACAAATGAAAATGCATTCTATCGTAATAATTTTGTTTTTTTTTTTTAACTATGACGTTATCTACATTGATGTCATTTACAATGCCATTGTCATTACAATGAGAAACGTAGATTTGTTCTTGGGGTTTCCTTCGTAATCAAATTACTAAATGGTACAATTGACTCGCCTACATTACTTCGTGAGATAGGCTTTAATGTCCCTAACTGCTTCTCTAGGCACTTTATCTTGATAAAGCTTAGTCAATCCAAATATAATTAGGAACTGTTCAACCCGCTCAGAGTTGTTTGCAAGAACCTAAACGACGTCTATCACTTATTCTCATTAACGGACTCTTTAAAGTCCATTAAAACAACATTGCTTAATGTACACGATTTACCTATGTCGTACTTGAACTAAATTTTAACTTTAAAAAGTGATTATGAGTCGTAAATTAATTGCAATGGCTTAGGGATTCACTTGCAAGTTGGTCCTGTACCGGTTGTGGCTGTGGCTCTATGCTAGTTATGTACATGCTTTTTTTCTTCTTATTTGTTTTATTGTACTTATACTAAGTTTTAATATTAATTAATTTAAGATTTACTTTAAGAGTCAATTGAACTCGACTGCCATTTTGTTTTAATTGAGTTTCTAGTATAAGCGGAATAAATAAACAAATAAAATAAATAAATATCTACACGAGTACATTAGTATTTTATTACAAAGGAAGCATATCGGCTATCCCTGGATAAGCATGAATTTTGGCTTTCCGAATACTCCATATTAATAGATTATCTGATATATAGAATCCACAATTTAGGTATCATAAATGTGCGTCATTCCATAGTTTTTTTAAAATGACTTTCGTTAAAAAATTTGATGAAAGTTGAAAGTTTTAAATCTTGTATTTAATAAAAACTATTAAATTATTTGAGTTAAAACTGAAATCCTATTTCTTTGTTTATATGTTTATATATATGTGTATGTATTTTAAATTTTATTTACAACTATATGCCGCTTCTTAATCTAAATTTATAGATACATATATAAATACATATCCTTAGTTATTAGTTGAAAACTATTATGTTCAGCGCTTACCTTGTACAAATTTTTATTTTACATGACGGATTGTCAATAAATAAATCTAGTCTATGATAAAACTTTGCGAAATAAAATGGTTTTGTACCAATTAATTCCAGATCGAAAGCATATACAATATTATTGAACAGTCTTAAACACTTTAAAAAAATAGCGAAATTCCAGATCGAAAGCATATAAAATCTTATTAAACAGTCTTACACAGGCATTGCTTCAAGTTTTTATATAAGCAAACCAAGTAATAATCATTCCCTGCTCCACCAAGTGCTGATCCATCGCTGCGTAAAACAGTTCATATGGTTGGTCGAACGCTCTTCCGTCATGTCACGCAAGCAGTGGCGGAGATCTGCAAACACCTCTCCATCAAGCCCGAATAGCGGAATTCAATATCGAAACCACACCCACCTCACAAAACCAAAGCCGAAAATTTAAAGAATGCAATATCAAAAAATCGATTTATAAACTAAGCGCTTATTTGACCTCAGGAAATCTAGCCTGGCTTTTGAAGTATAGATTTTAATGCGTATGACTTATCATTTATACAAAGTCGACCAACAATTATCTAAAAAATTGCTGCACTCTTAGGACGTTATAGTCTGTATGTTACGCTAAGGCGGGAGTGAGTGGATCTGCGTGTGAGCGTGGAAATACGGACTAACGGACGAAGAATGAAGCAAAGGACAGTACAGACAATGTGTCTTACGGACGGACTTAAAGTAGGTATCAGGTCAAAGCTTGTGAGCAGGACGCCAAAGAAAAGAAAATTAGGAAAGATATATAAAAGAATGCGATGAACTGAGAAAGCATCTGAGCTTTTACTTGCAACATAAACGCCGCCCAACGCTGGAGCCAAATGTTATAATTTTACAAATAATTGTTAACTAAGATAATTACACCGTTTTGTTGCACTTCTCAAACTGAAGAACTAGTCTAGCTTTTGTTGCCAGAAGGCAAATTTTTATACGCTTACTCTCGCATGCACGCAATTTTTACACAAAACTTGAACAACATTAAAAATTGTAAACAAATTGGACTCTTATGCTCACATCTTTGGAATTATTGAGAATCATTTTCAGTTGAAGGCAAATTTTTATACGCTTATTCTCGCATGCACGCAATTTTTATACAAATACTTGAACACTTACAATCCTTTGACATCTTCACTCTGCCATCAGCACGCCGCACTTAAGATGTGATAACAAAAGTCGCAATATACATTTATACAATTGAAGAGAATATTTTATATATAAGTAATTATAACTATCAGACGGTTATTACATCAATGTCACTCGAAGAGTTATGCGCCGAAAAGCAATGCAAATGAAATAATTTTCATTTTAATATATTCCAAGAAGTAAACGAATAAATAAGTACGAGAATTGTCTACATATTTGAAGGTGGTTTTTAGACCCGCTCATTTAAATTACTCTCATATGACTGCGAATCGAGGTAAGGTTGGCGTTCTCTTCTGCAAGCAAAGTTCTTAAACTGATTTTCTCGCTCAGCATGGCTGCCAAGTTTAATAAAAGCAAACTTTAAATACGAAGCAGTGTAACCCACTTGTCTTTCCTTTCATTAAACATAAGGAAAAAGTATGTGGAAGAATGTGTAAAAAATATTGAATTTCGCAAATGAAATAACATTAACCAACGTTAGCAATTATAAATATGAAATTGGTAAAATGGACGTACTTTTTTCATCTTCCTACGATTATTGTCGAACGTTAACGCTTGTTTAGTGCGTCAGTACCTATTAAAGGCCATTACCAAGTTGGACTCAATCAATTTTTGCTACATAAATAAACGCTTTAGAATTCGAATTAGAAATGCTTGTGTTTTTACAAAAGCTTGCTGTACGAGTTGTAATTGTCAAAGCAAATGACTAACGTGCATACACATAGGCATTTACATCGATTCACTAATTATACCTTTGTAAAATTGCTTCAGCAATTTACAATATTTAAATTTGTTATTTAGAAACTAAAAATCTATTTTTAACACTTCACATCAACATATCCCGATAAATTCTTTCTTTCGTTATAAAAGGGTAACCCTGTCAATGTGACACAAATCATTTAAGACGCCATTTTTGTTTTCTTCTTATTCCCTACTATTTCATTTTGACGGGCACAGAAAAAAAATACAAGAAAGTGGTATTATATATTGAATTATATAGAGAAAACGAATTCGTGTGGTAAAAAATATTATAAATAATTCAAGTATATAATCACAAAAGTGTTATTTAATGTTTTGCAAAAATTATAAAAGGAATTTTTATGCAAAAGGTTGTATGATTAAAGTACATGAGTCCGTGTGTTAAAGAAGAGACGGCTACAAAATAAAATTCCAATTTCGTATTGATAACATAATGTCGAAGGCAAAGAAATTATCATTGCCTGGCAGCAATGATGCACACGAATTTTATAATTATAAACCAAAGGATTTAATATGGTGAGTGTGTGTGGCTGGATAATAACATTGAACAATTTATATAAAAGAAGAAAAAAGCTCCGGAAAGTTATGGCGAAAATCTTGAAAACGTAGCAATGGGAAGACTGCCTTTATGGTCGATCAGAGAAAATGGCGCTTAACCTAACCTCAAATACGATGTAAAAAGTTCATCTTATATACAAAGCAAACCCAGAAATTAATTGATTAATTACATCAACTGAACTTTCTTTTCAAGATTTTTTTGGAATCTGTGAATTATAAAAAGATTTTTGAAAGGGATATTAAAGATTACGCTTTTTTTATTGCATGTTGATGCGTTCCTCGGTTCAGCCGACGGCAACGCTTTCTTGCGGCTGTTAATGTACTCCTACCGCTCAGTAACGTTGATTTTTGCTTTGCGCGCCTTTTTTCTCTACAACGAAAATTTTCTACAATAATTTTAAAAAATTTTTTTTATAAAGCTAGAAAAAGTTCCTAATTCGCTAATTTTTTTAATTTTAGGGCTAAAATGAAAGGCTTTCCACCATGGCCCTCTATGGTAAGTGCTACTGTTATCTTCTAGTATTTTGTTTAAATAATAAGGCAGCGACGCTGTTGCGCTGTTGGCTACGTAAGCGTTTGTTATTTTATATAAAAAAAAGAAGGTGGATGCTTCTTCTTGCTATTGCTGTACTTCTCAATTTAAAATGTGTATAGATGTATATATATTTATATACACTTTAGTGTACTCGATTGTAGTATTGGTGCTCGATATATACATTGACTGTACTTTTGCGTACTATAGAATGAAGTTCTCTAACCAAGAAGAGAAGATAAAGAGAAAGGAAGAGCGAACTTATGAGCTCTGCTGCGTACGTTACTTTTTAAGCTGCAGATAAACACAGAATATATATCATATAATGAAATCTTTAAATTTTTGCTGGGTTTTCAGAATTTTTCGTTAACTGAAATCCGATTAATTTAGAGTGTAGATCGTCAAAAAACTTAACCGTTGCTATTTTCTCTTGCCGGCAAGTTTGATTTTCAAATGTAAATAAGGAAATATTAAATAATAGACAAACTGCAATACTTATGAGTAAATATTGATATAAAGCTCCATAACTTTCTTTTGATTACGAAAAGAATGTCGTGCAATGCATACCGTTCTAGGAAAAAACTCATTTTTCATTAAGAGTCTGTTGCACACCTATCATTTTTGGCTTTTGGCTGAAGATAAAGTTCGAAGTCCACAAATTCAAGATCAACGTTCCTTAGTTGCCTTAATTACCAGATTTTTACATCGTTTGTTCCTAAATCAACAAAGCATTAACTTTCTGCCAAAACAATGTCAAATTAGGCGAGACATCCAATTGTCTTCTAGTCCTTTGTTTACAATTCGTCGAAAAGTACAAAACCACAGTTTATAAAGGTTTCAATTAAGATGATCCCTTAGATGCAAGTCGATGTTTTGGACCGTTTGGAAAAGCCGGGCGCTGGAAAGTGACATGCGCAAAGAATCTTTTGCAACGTAACGCCCAAATTTGTAAAAAAAATTCTTAACACTTTTTAAGTGAACGAAACTATTTTCAATGCAGCTACAATTAAACCGAAACTAAAATTTGCTTATCAAATATTTGTACTATCGACCTGAAAGAAAGCTCAATTGTTTGGTGGGCACTATTTTTTATACACATATCGTAAGTGCAATTCGGCTTCTTTAGCGAATTTTAATTTTATTCACTCGGTAGTAGTTTTTTTTTTTTTTGGAAAACGCTGTCCGAGTGTTGCACTACTTTCGTTAAATTTTAGACAAAAAGCTTCCTTCATTGGATGGGAAACATTGTGCTCCCTTCGGAAATCAGTCGGGCAGAGATGCGTGTCACGTAAAATATACCGGTTAGGTTATAATGGACATATGTGGACCCTTTAAACTTATTTTTAAATTTTTTCTACAATTTTCAATCGGCAGGTTTTCGTTGCTTGAACGTGTTAATAATCGATCAGAATTTACTCCCGTTTCTTGAATTCCTTCGGTCGCTTGCTAACATTTGCATATCCCGACTTATAAGTTGCAGGCATTTTTAGCCGAATTTTTTTTTGAAAGAGAAAACTTTAACGGTGAACTCTCCTAATCAACTGATTTTTTTATTTTAAAGTTTTAGCATTCAAGAACATAGTTAAAGAAAGCAGAAGTTTTGTGCATTCAGACTTATGGTACTTCAGTGCAGTTTACGGAATCTACAGAGAAAAAAATCTGATTACATTTCCTATTTTCGCCCTTAAATTTATATATTCCGTGTAGAACATGTATAGATATTTAAAAATTTATTTCGTAAGACAAAGTGCACGTTATAGTAATAATCGGAAAAAAATGCGATAATGAAATCGGTGACTCCAATTTAAAAGGCTGGAAGTAATTCAAGCATTTCACCACCACCTGAAATAATAATTAAAAAACATTTTCTAAGTAGAAGTAGTGATCTAGCTAAAATGTAACTGTTGCAAAGATTTTGAAGCTTTAAAGGTTGCTTATCGGCCTCGGCACAAGGCGCCCTATCAACTGAACTAGAAAGCTGCTCATGACGTTTGTCAGCAAGGATTAGATGCACAAATTTCATTTTAGTTTAATTTTATCCCACCAGAGAATGCCGATTGTACCCCTAAGACTGAATATTGATTAAAATTTGATTTCGAAACAGTTTTAGACTGTTTACCTTGCCGTTCTTGGCGTCGCAGCTCCAATGGCGAAGGAGAATTTTTTTGACGGCACATCAAATAAATGATTAGACACAATGATGGTACAGCTATCATCATAAAGATTGTCATTCCTATACCAACGGGACCTAAGATGTCAATTTTGGTAGCTTTCTCTTTAGCGGTCTTCTTAACTTCGATCGCTTTGGGGTTATGCAGCATATTGATAGTGTTGTACGTGATATTTGTATGATATGTGGACGTTGAAGTACATCTACGTTTCAAATCCAACATTGTATAGCCGTTAAAACATATACAGCGACCGTTTAAGCAATCAGGTTCACAGATCGGATAACACAAACTACTGTTTGCTGGACTGTTTTTGGAGAGTTGATATCCTTGAGCACATTCACAATTGCCGGGAATAGCATGGACGTCGTTTGTACATTCTAATATACAGAGAGGCACGCAAGTGTTTTTTAATCCTCCGAGCCGAAAACCATCGAAACATTCGCATTTTCCCGGACTTATGCAAATACCGTTTTTGCATTCCGGATCACATATGGGCGCACAGTAGTTTCGTTCCACATCAAGTGTATAACCTGTTAGACATTTACAAGTACCTGGGGCCACGCATCGGCCATTCATGCATTTGGGCTCGCAAATAGGCTCACAAGCACCAGTTGAGTTTTCTAGTCTGTAATTGGGAAGGCATTTGCATGTTGCTGGGGCCAAGCAAAATCCATTTCGACATTCAGGCTCACATAAAGGTTCGCACGATTGCGATATTATATTGAATTTGTAACCTTGTAAACATGCGCATTGACCTGGCGAGATGCAAACACCATTTTTGCACTCCGGCTTACATATAGGTTGACAAGCCTTTGTCAAAGTATTTACATGATAATCGGGGAAGCATTCACATATCCCTGGTGCTATACATTTACCATGAAGACAATTGGGTCTGCAAACAGGTTCGCAATGGTTGACTTTTCCAGCAAATGCATAGCCTTCAAAGCATCTACAGATGAATGGCGCCACACAGTGTCCATTTTTACACTCTGGCTCACAAATAGGCTCACATTTATTCGCTTTTGTAATAAATTTATAACCTTCATCACATTTGCAAGTGAATGGTTCCATACAGTGACCATTCCTGCACTCGGGCTCACATACAGGTTCACACTGGTTCGGCTTTGCAGTCAATCTGTATCCTTCGAGACAATTGCAAGTAAATGGTGCTACACAGTGGGCATTTTTACACTCGGGATCACAGATAGGTTCACATTGACTCGATTTTCCACCCAGTTTGTAACCGTCCAGACACTTACATGTAGATGGTGCTATGCAGTGGCCTTTTTCGCACGCTGGCTTACAGATAGGATTACACGTATGAGTTGAATTTTCCAAACGAAATCCCAAACTACATTCGCACTTCCCTGGAGCTCTACAGACACCTCCTTGGCACTTTGGCTCACATATGGGCTCGCAAATATTCGCTAGTAGTCCATTGCTGTACCCTCGGTCACATTCGCAAATTCCCGGCGAGATGCAGTGACCATTAATACAAGGAGGCGCGCACGATGCTTCACAAGTTCCAGTAATATTATTTTTAGTAAATAGTTGGTTGCATTTGCATACGTTAGGCTTTATACAAATGCCATTCTTACAGCTTGCCTTGCAGATAGGCTTACAGTCGCCATTACGCATCTCATAACCGCGGCAGCAACCAATTTCTGTCTAAGTAATTAAATTTCAAATTTAAAGATTGTTTACGTAAGGATGTTTTCCTGCTCATACCTGTTCTGTACCGTTGCGTGATTTTATGCAAAAACGTACAGACAAAGTCGTACTGAATAATAAACTTATCACAAGAACCTTTGTCAACATTTCTATTTGCGAACCTTTCCCTTAGGCTTTAAAACAATAACTGAAAAGTAATTTTAATATCATTCAACGGGATGAGAAAAATTCTATTTTTACTGAAAATGTTATTTTCTACATACAAATGTTTTGTGTGATCTTTTATTAATCATTGTTGATTGTGGTGCGGTTAATGCTATGGAAAACAAAACGGATTCATTCAAACGTAATGGATTTTTGTAAACAGTTTGCGTAAATGGCTGAACAGTTTCTCCTTTATTTACTTTACTTTTCTGAATTCACCGCATTTCGTTTCGAAAATAAAAGTTGAGGACTATCCATGATTTTATTCCTATACACTGAAATATTTATCGAAGATCCCTTGCAACGTAGTGAGTACATGCTTGTTAAGCTGGTTATTTTAGCCATGTCTGTCTTTCGCAATTTCTATTAAAACATTAAAATCTTATCTAAATGAACAAGCTTGACCAACTGAATAGGTACATGGTTCAGGTCTTAGAGCTTTAAAATTGTCACAAATATAAATAAGTTCACAAAATTGTACGAAACACATACACAGAAAAATATTCCTTGCTGCAACTACACAGTATAAAAAAGATAAATATAAAAAACATAGTAAACGAAATGGTTTCTAGTTCAAGTTGGCGAACGGTTTCATATCTCTTGATATACTGCGGATAGGAAAAGGGACGTGCGCTAAAAACAGGAGGACTGCTTTACGATAAAGTGAACTATAAACTTCTTTTTTTATTTATTTTTTTCTAGATTGTGGAACCCCCATTGGATTTATTGCATCAGCCACGTAAGGCTAACTCAAAATGTGTGTTTTTCTTTGGTACTCGCAACTTGTAAGTTAAAAAACTTATTTGCTCTTCCATCTTTGAGTCCTCATCCATTGGTTTTTGAATATCCGCTATTGTTTTTTTCTTGCGTTTGCAGCGCCTGGATTGAAGCCAACAATATTAAACCGTTTGAGGGTCCCTGGAAGGAGCAACTGTCTAAAGTGAATAAGCCAAATTCGTTTCGTCAGGCTATGGAAGATATAAAAAATCATATCGATGACCCTACGGAAATTGACGCTGAAATTAGTAAGAGTATAGGCATGAATCATGCGACAGAAGCCGACTTCGATAAGATACGCGATGGCCTTAATGAAGAAGAAGATGACACTAATGACGTCCCTGCTACTGCTCCAACTGTTGCTGCTGCTGTCAACACATCAGCTGACAATGGTTTAGGTGGCGGCTCAGTGTCTGGAATAAATGATCACGAAGATATCGCTTACAAAACACCGGTTAAGCGTACGCCTAAAGCAAGGAGTACTATCTCGACAAGCAGTAAAATCAAATTACCGCCATCCACCGCCGCCTCCTCCACCGCCAAATCGACTGCAAAACGCCGTCGTTCCTCACAAAATCCCGGAGGTAAACGTAAACGCAACAATTCAGCTAGTGTTTTAGACGATTTTATCGACTCAAGTTCACCGACGCCGCGGCGCAAAATTAACACAGAATCATTGGCTCATATCGGGACTTCGTCCCGCCGCAACATGAATTCGATTGCGTTACTCGATCGTCCTGTGGTGTTACGCCCAGAAGCTCAGGCTATTGATATGAATGCACGCAGTCAGACATTGGCCGAACGTGATATAACACCCTCGAATTTGACATTCGGTTTTCTCGGTTTGGGCATAATGGGTTCGACCATTGTTAAAGATTTGATCTGTACAGGCCACAAAGTGGTTGTGTGGAATCGGACTATGTCTAAGTGCAAACCATTCGAAGAAGCCGGTGCTTTAGTTAAGGACACACCAATGGATGTGGTTGATGCCGCCGATATAATATTCTGTTGTGTTTCAGATCCCAAAGCCTCAAAGGATGTAAGTTTTGCTCATGAAATATAAAAGAAAAAGTTTTTAATGATTTTGATATCAAACAGTTGGTATTTGGTAACTGTGGTGTACTGCGAGCCACCGATTTGTGCAACAAAGCCTATGTGGAAATGTCTACAATAGATCCGGAAACTTCACAAGATATTGCTGAGGGTATAACACAAAGCAATGGCCGATATTTAGAAGTGCAAGTAATTATAATATTCTGCGAAATTGGAAAGAATATTGTTACTTTGAGTGTTTGTTTTCCACACATAGATACACGGCACCCGCCAAGAGGCTGAAGATGGCATGCTCATCATATTGGCTGGCGGTGATCGTACCGTATTCGAAGAATGTCATTCCTGCTTTAAAACGATTGCTAAGAACACTTTCTTTTTAGGAGGTAAGTTCATTGTTAATTTCATTCTATCATAACTTTTTCCTTCTAGTTGTTTTTTCCCTTTCTTTTTGTTCTTAATTTGCGTGTTTCTTTCTTGTTTTTTCCGCCTTTTCTCTTCATCGTCTTTGTGGCTTTTTTTCTCAAACTTTTTTAGCAGAAGTTGGCAATGCCTGCAAAGTTAATTTGATACTTCAGACCATAGTTGGTGTTAGTTTGGTTGGTTTAGCCGAAGCTTTAGCCTTGGGTATGTTTATTGCTACATCGCTTCTATCTTTATGGACGCTATATAACATATAAATTTTACATATCTATTTTAGCTGATCGTTTCTCAATCTCTTTAAAGGATATCATTGACATATTCGAATTGACTTCAATGAAATCGCAATTATTATTAGCTAAAGGCAAAGGTGAGTAAAACTAATTTAGTTGCAAAACAATTAAAGAACATGGTTGCCCGTAGCAGCTTGACAGAATCAATGTAAATTCTTTCGTCTATCGGCGGGAAGAAAATTAAGTTTACAAATAAAATATCTTGCACATCATAACAAATTTGGAGTCAATCTATCCGTGTGCTTATTGCAAGACAAGAACGCAATTTAGTTGACGTAGACGTAAGTCGTTAACATTGATTTGTGTATAGATGTCCGTGTACGGATTTGTCCATTGGTGGTCGGGCTAAAAATGAAATTTTTCCAAAAACCAAGATAGAAACTTAGAAATCAACAGAAGTTTGACCATTAAAATCTCAAGAGTTTGTGTTATAGAACTTTAGAAAGTAAATATGCTTTAGGAAAACATTCGTAAGAATTAGTTCTAATTCGTTTTTACATTATAGGCTAGAATACAACTGTTATCAGAAAAAAATTATATACCGGATATTTCAAATGTGTCTGATAGATGCTTAAGTTACTCTCAGGACAACTAACGATTTGGTATGAAACCTTAGAAAATAAAGGCCGGACCACTTACTTCCTGTAATGTCAAGATACCGTTGTAAGTAGTCGCAATTCTATAGCTTGTTTGACTTACCATTTTTCTTGCAAATGCACATACAACACAAGCAAATATTGTGTGACTCTTTGTAGCCTTTTGTTTTATTTTACAAAAACAAAATACCGTTCGCTTAAAAGCCATTTAGACTTGGTATGAGAATGCGTACAATTGATTACTATTATATACATACAATATAAGCAATATTTATGAAATCTTACACATTAATTCAAAATTAAAAAAATGGAATTTCTGGAGCTAATTTTTCCAGTCAACGTGGAACTGAACTTCGATGCTTTCTATTACTAATTATATTGGTGCCCAAAATTGCTACGTTTATATTAAGTCTATTTGCCCAACAAAATTTTCTATGATAAAATAGAAATCTTTTGGCGAGGGTTAAAGTCATTTGGCACAAAATTATACCCATGTATAAATAAACTACATCAGCGATATTATGTCCATCGAGTGGTGTCAGAATTCATTACTTGATAGAAGGTTTACTAATCCCATTAGCTCAGGTTAATAAGAATGCGCTCAATATATATCATATATAGTATGAAAATTCTCAACATTAATATGAGAATTATCATATTCAGGACTATTAGGCCCGCTCTTCAATTGGAATATGAAATAAATAAGTTTTGTAAGGTGAACTTTCCTCTCTCTATATGGATCAAATGTAATACAAATAGGCAAAGTTTAAATAGAAAGGGGTGGCTAAACAGCTGTGATTAAAATGATTAAAAATACATATTCAAATCTTTTCTTTTAAGTGTCTTTACTGGTTTGTTTGCGCTGTATTTGCGGTAAATATTCTTCTGGTCGCAAAAATTTAGCTACAGCAATTATGGGGAAACATTCGAAGTTCTTGCATGAAAAATTGCAACTCTACTACATAAAAGTTGTACAAGACTAGAGTACCTATTTGAAAATCGAAGAAGGTGATTGACGTAACCGAAATCGGCCACGGACAAATAAGTTTTTCTTACTTATGTAGTTTAAAGAACTTAAAACATCGAGCGTTGAACAAGCTAAACCATTCCATAGCGTACACTCCTCCTATAAGAGATTCCAAATTTGGCTTAGTAAATTACGTACTTTGAATCAATTTTTGTTGTACAACACCGGAAGTCATGTTATATTGTTTATGAAGTCTTATTTTTTTTTTTTAGACGTTTATACAGGCAAGCTTTGAAGAAATGATCGCGTTTTGTCCAAAAGGATCAAATACACGTAGTACGTCAATAGAGTATTTTTGCTGAGAAATATTTTTCATATTTATTTTTCTAAAAAACGGCGTCGTGTAGCGAACAATCGAAAAAACTTTCCGATAAACTCAATTATCAATGGGGACAAGCCATGTCATAAATGTAACAAATCTAAAAAATTGTGCAAGATGAAAAATCGATATATTTTATTACAAAAAACATTTTTATTGATTTCATTTTTATTACAAAAAAAAAAAAGAATTAAAATTACTATACATTGAAAATGTAGTCTATAAGTAGGTAGATACAACATAAAAATCAATTTCCCAACTATTACGAACTGGATCAAAAATGGCATCATCAGGATGTGTCTAGCACAACTGTCGCTTTCGATTCAAATGATGAAATTCATTCATTATCAGCGGCCAAGTAATAATAGGATTATCTTCGTCTGAAAAGAGAATTTCGTTGAATTTAAATTTTCTTGTTATTGTTATTCTTTACAGAAATGGCCAAAGGCGATTTTAATCCTCAACAACCGCTCAGTCACATGCAAAAAGACTTGCGACTTGTTTTAAGCATGGCCGAGAATTTGGATCAATCGATGCCAGTCACCGCAATAACAAATGAAGTTTTTAAACATACCAAACGGCTGGGCTACAGTGATCACGATTCAAGCGCCGTCTTTGTAAGATCCAGATTTTAACATTTAGTTAACGCAACGACTTGATAAGTTACAACAAAAACAACAAACAAAACAGACAACTTTAAAACAATAACAGCAACAACAACAAAAATATCATTACTAAGTATCTAGAAATACAAGATAAACGAAGGGAAAAAATAAAAAAAGAGAATAACAACATCAAAGAACTTCAAAGGTGAAAGTTATAAAAATCATGGAAAAGAAAGAGAAAAGCAAAACACGGTTTAACAAAATTTAGTTTAAAGAGCACGCGCGTTTCTTTTGCATAAATAGAGAAAATTTATTTTTTATTTTTTTTTTTTTTAATATGAAATTAAGTTTAGCGTTTACATCTATATTCAAATATTATCACTCCTACGCTATCCCTTCCCTTAATTAAATTTAATTGTTAATAATTTTATTTGTTTAATTTTCTCCCTCTTTTTATGTTTTGGCAAAAAACAAACAAACATAAACAACAACAAAATTGATAACATAAATATTTTAAATAATAAAATGAAAACTACAGAGATTCTTAAATGAACGGCGTCCAACCTTACCAACTGAATGTCAGAAACGAAAAGACTACGAAGAAATTGACAAAAACGAGACATCAAAATTTGCCGCGACTGCTACTACCAGTCCTATACGTTCAAGTAACATGCCCAACAGTAAGGCGAGAAATATGTCTTCAGTTACAAAAACGCCGAATAGTCATGTGGTGGCTAAAGATATTGATGATGACGACGAAGACTATAAAATTAATGATGGAAGCAATGACGATACTATTGAAAATATTAACAACACTAACAGCATTAGCAACAGTAATTCTCTTTTGAAATCGAAAAACAAAGAAGAAGAAAAGAAGAAACAAATTGTATGAAAATAAAATTAAAGAAACAACACAGCCTTTATCAATCGGATGCTTGTGTGCGTTTGTATTTGAATAGTAAATATTTTCAAATTTCATTCATACTTTCATAAAATGCACACCCTCCATCTCTCAAAAAACAAGAGCATGTTATATAAATGTTTTTTGACAGTTGCCGAGCACTTCCCTTCGGACATATAACAAATGTATATATATGTATATATATATATAGATATATATATAGATATATGTATGTATATATATATATATATATATATATATAAGATATAAATATATATTCATATATGTAACAAATGTATGTATAGATATATATAAATATGCATATATATTCATATAAGTAACAAATATATACATATATATATGCATATATATTCATATATGTGACAAACATATACATATATATATATATATATATGCATATATGTAACAAATATGTACACATATGTATGTATATATATATGCATATATATATATATTTGTTATACAGCTAATGTATATGCGTGTATACATATGTAAAGTAGGTAACAGCTCATATTATTTTATTATGTAAGCTTAGTTTCTTTTTTCCTCAAACTTTAAGTTTTCAAAGCAGTTTTGAAAAAAAGGAAAAACGCCACACGAATACACTCTTAAAACTACAATTTTTATTGTAATTTATATTATAATAAATAAAATAAATGTTGGTCTTTTTTACGTTTTGTTTTTTTTTCTCCTTTAATTTTTGATTTCTTTTCTCTTAAAACTGAAACATTTTTTTAATAAATTTTGTCTTTAATTGTAATTACGATTTTACACTTATATGTATCAAATAAAAGTGGAAAAACATTTAAGCCCGTTTATGATTAAATTGTTAAGAGAAGACATATCAACATTAAAATCCAGGCAAACAGATTTCAGGAAGCTGTTCATCTTTCTAATTAAATAAAAAAAGCGAAATAAACCAGACGGAAATTTCGTTACATTAAAGATCACATTGAACGCGAGCACACTATTTTAGCAGGTTTTAATAACTTTATTAAGACTTGCATGATCCGCTTCAGTTTTTCCCTTAAGAAAGTGAACGACAGGGCCCGGTTAATGAAAGGATATGACGCATTATTTCGTAGTTGTAAGAACCATTAAGTGAACATTTTTCACTTGATTATAATTGGGTAATAGTTTCGTTCTTCTATGCCATCAGTGAAAATAGATAAATATTTCATGACGACGAACGGTGGCATCAATGTACTCCAACATATTTCCTGATGGGAGAGCGCCTTTAAAAATTAATTGTTTCGTTTATAATGCCTTCAAAAAAGACAACAAAGATAGAGATATTAAAAACGCTTTATTCGTAATGAATGAATCAACGGACGCATATTTATGATGGCCGTCGAAACTTTAATAAACGGGTTAAATCGGCCAATTAGTTTACAATTAAAAAAATACCTTTATTTTCTATATGTTTGTTTGGAACGATTTTGGAATTTTGGAACTCCTTTACTACAGTTATTTCCAATTTCGTAGCAATTATAATCATTTCATGCGTTAACATCGCGTTGCGACAGTTGTACCCAGTGGTAATCTTTACTGTTTTGCATCAGTTAAAGTGGATGGAAATATTAGCGAAGAGCTTAAGCCTATTCATCAGACTGCATTACATAGTAGAAAAATTAACGTTAGCTGCAGTATTACACCAGCTTATATGTCATCGACAATGCAAATTTCACATTTGGTGGCATACTTCTTGCTATACATAAACATTTAATTGGACGTATATAAGAATTAACGCAAACTCGACAACCGGTTTTGTTGCGAATAATCATTTCATTTGTAAATAAATATTAGCTGTCCCACAATATTCTAGCATTGATTAAAGAAAGATCAAAGACTAAGGATCGTAATCCATTAATCTGCGACTATAAGACCCCTCAACGGTCCACCAGGCAACGGAATCTTTATTGACTTATGCAGTTGATTAACTATTCATTCCGCGATCGCCTACCAATTTAAATTGAAAGAAGGCATCTTTGCTGGTAATACATGACTCATTGCGTAGATTATAATCTGACGTTTTAAACTCTTTCGTGCTGGACAAAGAAAGGATGTAAATGCTGTGGTCGGGATTCATAGGTCCAGTCGCCATTCCAAAAATGCCGTCAATCCATTGGAAGTTAACACCACGTACGCAAGTAATGACGAGCAGTCCGATAGGAGCGATTGTCGTGGAAAGAATAAATAATAAAGGTATAAGTATCTAAATCAGGCAAATAAGCATAAGCTTTATGAAATTCGGACGCAGTTGACGCGGCTACGCCGGATATTCTTCTGTAGAGACAAAGGTAATTTTAAAGTTTTGACATTAGATATTTAAAATTTTGATGACGTAATTGCAATGTTTTAAATGATCTGAATTTCAACGCCATATTTTCATGCATAAGAAAGAAAGACGTCGAACATTCTACGACTTTAAATATTATTCTCAATTCTTCCCTTCTGTTTGAAATTGCAATTTTGGAAAATGTGCCCTGATTGGATTCTTGAGAGGTAAGTAGGCAATGGCTTTGATGTTCATGTGACATATTTGACATAAACAAATAAAAAAATTTTAAAGTTGTAAAAAAAAATGAAAAATTTGGATCAGTTAATATTTTACTAAAATTTTTGCAACAATATTCTTGACCGTCAAGAATAAAGGACCCAATTTGCTGGTTTTCTGTTTGCGGAAATTATGATTATAACTTCAACATATTGTCTAGCAGGACGAGACTTCCATGTCATTGTCGCCAAATCCACATTTAACTAATGGGAAAGCGATAAGTACACGTTTTTTTCTACATCTTTTGCTTATCTTCAAAGGTTCGGCCACAATTACCAAAAAAAATCTCAAAGGGTATGTTTTCATGTTGCATTTGTAAAGGTTTTCTTAACTAATCTGCAGTTTTAACTGTTGCTGAATTATACAAATGCATTATTTTAAATATTGTACCATTTATTAATGGATCTTTCCATTCCATCTTGCAATCAAAAATCGTTCAATATATGTGCCTTTATAGATATATACATACACGTGCATACATACGTGCACAATTTATTGAAAATTTTTATTCCGAAACTTTTTAAATATAACGTAATTCGAATCAAGTTCATTTCATATTAGAAGTTATGATTCTTAAATTATTTGTACAAATCTAACTAACGCATATATGCTAATGATAATTATGAAGCTGAAGATTATTTTGGTTATTTAACGCAAATATAAAATTTTTTTACAAAATAAAAATAAAACATTCGTTATGAACATTGCAGACTTCCAAGCGAAAAATTAATTTTTTTTATGAAAATTCTGTAATCTTTTAATCTCTTCTAACATCTCTGTGTTACTGAATATGAATTATAATAAATATAAACATATGTGGAATCATTACAAAGAAGAAGACGGAAACTGTGAACGTGTGTTAAAATATTTTATAATAATTTTAGTAAAAAGATCTTTTAAATATACACATATATATATATGCATACATACATACATGCACATATATATATATATATATATATATATGCATACATACATATATATATATATATATATATATATAACCTACGGAATTTAATGTACACATTTCGTTAACTCCCCTGTCTTAATCCTCAAATGTGTACAGCCCTGTTCATACGAATTTACTTGTAAGAGAAGAGACAGGGAAAATGCAGAAAATGGCGAACTTCGGTTGATTTTCATTTCGGAATTTCACGTTAATTTTTTGTTCATCAAAAATTTAGAAAAAAAAATATTAACAAAACAATTTTAATAATTAAGTATTTGACTGTGGTAATTAAGCAATAAACAACCAAGCGGTGTCGGTGGTGTGGTGGAACTTTTATTTTGATAGAATGTGAAATTTTTCTTTTCTTGGATGAACTGGAAAGAAATAGATGTGAAATGATGAATATCAGAAAAGAAGAATTGTAAAATAATGTGAACGAACCTCTCCAAGTATGTGTGTAAAGGAAAAGTGAAGAAAAAAAAGCACAAAAAGGCAAAAATATATGGAGGCCAACAGAACCGAAGAAATAAAACTAAAAAGTTTTTTATTCCTTATATTCAAAAGAAAAAAGATTGTGGACATACATTATCCGCTTATAAAGATTTGAATTTTAGATTTCTGCGTTTATGCTGAATAATGTAATTTCTTCCATTATGTCAGCTACTGTTATATCAATATAACTTTTCCAAAGAGCATTTGTTGCATATGATTTCTTATAAAGATCTTGTCTGCCTACTACTCAGCTATAAGAAATGGAAATGTAAGTTAATAAAATATTTTTAAAAAATTTTCAAGTTTTTCTATGATTTATAAAGTGAAAATTTCCTTAAAATGAAAAAATTGCGACGAAATTTCATTGAAATTTGTTTTTGTTTTGCTTACAATAAGGGAAACTACAATGAAAAAAACTATAATCAACATAGACAGAGAGAAATAATTAAACTGAAAACCTTGCCATTACGAGAGAGTAGTAATACCTAATGTGATGCAGAGTGAGTGAGGAAAAGGGACAATCCCACAGTAATATTGTCGTCAAAATATATAAACTATATTAGCTAATAATATGCAAGAAAGAAAGAGATTAGTCAATGTTTTTGACTTCTCAACTTCGCAAGGTTGCATTTTTTAGGTTTAAAAATATATCACGAAATACTTCAAATTTTCAAGCAAACATCTGAAAACATATTATATGAAAAAAAGAAAATAATTAAAAAGTTTTGAGAAGAAGATAACGAAAAAGGATATATTCCTTTTTGGTGTACTCTCGTTCTTATATTGTCATACGCACCTACATACGTCCTAATATGAGAAGAGAACATAAGAAACAGAAGAAGAAGAAGAAATTTTCGATAGATTTGTAAGCCGTAACCAGCAGTAGTGTACCCGCAGTTGCTCGTCTACGCGTAATAATTTTTAAAAATTTTTAAAAAGAAATTGAAAAATATTAAAAGTAAAATGCAAAAAGCTTAAAAAATAACGTGAAAACAAGTGTGGGAATAAATGAAATTTTTATAAAATGAAAAGTTCAAAGTGCAAATATTTGAATTAAAAAAAGCTGGCTAATGCAATAAATTACTGAACTGTACAGACGAGCAACACTCTTTTTTTTAAGCCGTTGGCATTCCCTAGACAGAAAAAAGTTTTCTTATTCCTTTTTCAGTTTAATGCCAATGTGTTAAAATCATTAGAATTTTCTTTCCTTTTGATTTTAAGTACAACGACAATTGAAGAAATCCCCAAAAAGTGTATCATGCACGTCGTTCTCGTTATCTAGTTTTCTTTTTTACATTATGGGGTTTGTTGTTGTAAGTGTGCGCGAATTTATTTTGCTTTAATATATATGGACCCCATTTAGGGGAGTGAGTGTACGTATAATGGATGAATATTTTAACTCTACTACCCCTGCCTGCCAAACCCACTTAAGTTGCTCTCCTCGCTTTCCCCACCATTGCTAAACCATCGTATTAACGTTTATCATATACGTCTGCTGCTTGCCGAAGTGTGTGTATGTAATATTCCATATAATACAACAAAATGTTACTGAGTCTTGTATACTTGCATATTTATATAAATATTTGTGTATTTGTGGTTTTAGTATTTCATCGTGTCCATTTAGTGTTTATTTTTTTCTCTAAACTCTATTTGTAGTGAAAACGAACGAAGAAAACAAAAAGTAATGATAAATCGTCATCTCTTAATTTTTGTTGTTGTTCCGTTTTTTCTCAATTTATCTTTGTGCGCTTTTTGTTGTTTTTTATTTATATTTAATTTTTTTAGAGTGTTTTCCACCCGTGGGCCGGCACCCTCTTTTTACGTCTTTTATGTCACACAGATACAATCAATTTTCCCCCTTTTGCTCTCTCACATACACTTCATTACCTTATGCATTTCAACTCTCGTATTTTCTAATTTTGCTCTCACAAAGCACAGCCGCCCTGGTCTTCCATTCGTATGTTGTGCTTTTATTAAAGAGAAAAAATCGTTATAATATATATACAATAATATTTTAAAGGTATTGGCGCTCAGCAACACACAAATCAACAATTATTACGGTTTAGCTGATGTTGTTGCTTTATCTCTATGAGATTTCTTGCAATGAAAAACAAAGTGTAAACGTTTTTAATCATACTTTAATGCCTTATAGACTTTTGAGGAACAATTTTTTTTATCAAGATTCTAATTTTTGTTTTTTTTTTCTAAAGCTATATATGTTTTTCTCTATTTCTGTACCTGTGTGTTCACGAAACGGAGCAAATGTCTAAGTTAGTTTAATTTTTATACGTGTATGTCATACAAGTAGATAGACGTGTATTAATTTTGTTTTCCTGTTCCCCTTGATATACTTAAAAACGAAGCAGTAAATATCCTTTATATTTACGCTCGTAATCGGCAGAATGCTTTGAATATTTTTTAAAAATTGTGCCAATATTTTCAATGCAGCGCTCGTTTGTTAAATATGAAAAATTCTTTTTTTTTCTTTTTCTAAGAATATTATAACAACTCCAATGTGTTGAGTTACGATTTTTTTTACGCAGGCTGTATAGATAAAACAACCGTAACGTATAGAAAGTGGGGGGCCGTTTGTAAGGCTTGAATGATGGAATGAAAAAAATTATGATCATCGTAAAAGTTTGTCTACGAGAATAAACATAATATGGAATTTTTCTATATTTACATGCTATTTGCTCGTTTATTAAAAAAACCCGATCAAACGAAACGTAACCAATTTTCATCAAATTTATATTGCGTCCACAAGCTTTTGCAGTAATAAATGCATGACCTATGTCTAAATCTTACGCGTCATTTCATTTTACAAAAGGGGCACATCACTGCATCCAAATGATTTTAAAGTTTATTGTTAATGAAAAGCAAAAACCCTTCTGTTGACTCGCATCACCTTCGTTATATGCCCTTTTTTTAACGGTTTGTTTTTATAGAGAAAATAAAATCCAAAAAACTTTAATCCTTTCAGATAAATATATCTTTATTGCTTGTATAACATGTAATAGCAATAATTTTTTTTGCAGGATTTGCTCTCCTTTCATTCTTTCATGCTCCTATAGTTTCTGTCCTACTCTCTGTCACATTTATTAAATTGCATGCCATTGCCCTCTTTTTTCACTTAATATGTCATAAAAGCAAAGTAAAATAAAAAACTGAAAAATAGCAGCAACAACAACATTGCGATTTTTACAGTTAAGAAAAAAAGTTCTAATTAAGAAATCACCTCCTTATTTAATGTTGTTGGTTTCACTACCCTTTTTTTCTCGTAAAAGTGCATGCTTTTTTAGGCAGTAGAGAAGTTAGAAGAAGGTAGCTCTTTTTCTTTAAGTTGCTGTGTTGAGATATATTATGTGTGCGTGCGAGATAGAGTTGCTTTATTCGTTATTTTTAATTAACCGCCAACTGAATTGATTTTTTTCACTTTCTCTATCCCTCCCTTTACCCTCTTTATTTGTTCCATGCATGCTGCGGCGTTATTGTTGTTGTTGTTGCGATTATTGTTGATAATACTGAGAGTTAAACAGTTTTGCATTATGTTTTCTATTAATACAGAGCAACACATTATAACAAATGCACATACCTATACACAAGACATATACGAGAATATAGGAGAACGACACGTTGCAAGTAAAAGCAACTTAAGAGCAGTGCCGGTTTATGATTGTATCACTTAAATGTTGAAAGTCATTATACTTTGAATTTCAGTGAGTTCACGTTATATGAAAATAGCTACATTGATAGACCAGTTAGTTGGCCGTATGACTGACTGCTTAGCGGTTGACTGATTGGTTTAATATTTTAAACACCTGTCGTTTTGCTTTTACATGTATATTTACTCACTGAGTAAAATAAGGAATTGCGTTTATTCGTGATTACGTAGCCATGGTTGCGTGTCTGTCCGAATTATAAAACCGGAAAATTCCATACCTGCAGGCCAAAATTTATTCCAATGCCTTCGAGATGAAAATGAGCGCAAAACTGCGTCAATTTTCAGTCATCATATATTAACATTAAAGTTATATTTTCCAACCTTCATACTTAACGAGGGTTACGGCGATTTCCATTTGTTTAAGGTGATGGTAAGTCCAAGAGTTTTGCCAGAGGGGTAACAGTATAGCCTTCGTTCTTTTATCCTATTGGTGTCTTACGCCAGCCAAATGTTTCCGAGGAGTAGAAATACGTAAGGTATGGAGTGGATGGACATGTCCGTCAATTTTCCGCTTTTCGAGATTTTTAAGACTCGATAATCAATTCAAAACTTGGTACAAATTTTTCTTCTATAACTCTCGTTAGATTAAGATCAAAAATTGGTTAAATCGAGCAAAAGGTTCGTCCATAAATATCAAGCAATCATAAATAAATAACAACGGAGTAAATCAAACCTTATTTTTATCGTTTGTCATAAAATAAGTAAACAAACATAATTTTAAAATTGATAAAATAAGAGCAATACGAAGGAGCGAATAAATTTCTGCCCTGCCGAGCGAAATGTCGTACTCCAATTAATGAATGCTATGAGTGGAATATAATGTTTTTCCTGCTTTATCCTATGTTATATAAAATATTAATTATTATAAATATGTTATAAAGTATATTATATGTATACAAGTAAACGGTGTTATATGTACATATGCATATATAAAACGCGAAGTGTTTGTTTTTCTCTTGTAAGCGATTATACTCATCTTACGACAAAGCGATCGTTGCATCAGCTAACACATACGCGAGCAAATCAACACAGATACTGACTGAAATTCAGGAAGACGTATATTTCGTGTATGTGTTGTATGCACACAATCAGACATATAGGCTAAATAAGGCCAGGGTCAAGTTATGTGCGTTTAAATAAAAAGCTTTTAAATATTATGAGATTCTCTACTTTTTCCTTCTAGTTCAAAAGTGTTTCATCTATACATTTAACATACAGGAGACAAATAAAACGATAAAAACAGAGAAAGCTCGTAAGCCCATAAATTGTAAATTCAATGAAACCCATTTCCAAACTTGACGTCGGTAAATATATAAATCGACGTGGAATATGAATGAAATTTAACCAAAAGCTTTAATTTTACGGTTTTTGCGAATACTAAAGAACATAGTCAGTCAAAGAATTGGTTGGATACTTCATTTCAATTCAAAAGAGCAAAGCCGTATTTCCTTTCTTCCAAAAAGTTAGCATTGTAGGTATTTATATCTTTTTATATACTCACACCGTTTATTTTATAGGGTTTACTAACCCTCTCCATAAGTAATGTGCAAAGAATATAATATAAGTCTCCTTTCTAACATTCTGAGTGAGTGTTCATAAACCTACATGATTTCCGGATAGTACTAACCTTCAAACGATACCTGTCATAATGTAATGTCGACCTAAAATAAGGTAATGGTAAAAAAATTAATTTAAGATATAATCATTTTTGTCATGGCCACAAAAATTTTTATTAACACGGGAGCTTTATATGGAACAACGGAAAATTTTTGGTATTTTTTGAAAAAGACAAATGAAATATTTAGTTTGGCTGTTAGTCTATCGTTCTTACTTTTTTGAAAGCGTACACGACGAAAATTCGCAGAAATATTTACGACAATACCTTCGAGAACCGACTTTTAAAAAATAAAAAATGGCGTGCAATGTCACTGCTTCATTTGTAATTTATAGTTTCTTTTATGTATCTCCAAGTGTGTAAAATATGGCCAGATTTTCAAAATATTGTCACCAATTTTAACTTGCAAAATAAGAAGTTAAGTTTGCGAACAAGACTTGGATATGTTTTTATTAAAATTTAGATTTTGTGCAGATTGTGCAAGTTTTTCATATAATTTACATTTTATCACTGACGTACTTGTAGGGAGCTATTGTTCATTTTTCCACCAAGCGTTCCGATGACGTGAGAAACTGATGTTTGTAACAAGTTGCAAGACGTAAAAAGTTGATTACTGCGGATATATACGAAAGCAAATTATGTCCATTAGAAAACCTGGCCCGTAGTTATTAAGACTTTATGTATTCGCCTCTCAGTTTGTTTGCTGATAATATCTATTTGGCAGATGCGTTTTAATATTTCGTGGGAAAATTATAGACTCTGATCATTCGACTGCACCATCAGCAATTGGTCGTTGAGTTAAATCTTTTATATTTACTGCCGAAGAATAACGATTTGTTTACTTTGTCAATACGTGTGCAACACATAAAAGCAAGCTTCGGGGAACTCATAACGTGTACATATATTTGATTAGCAACAATGATGAATGCATTTACGGCTAGCTGTCTGATCATCTGCATAATTATTTAATGTTTATGGTAAACATTCCCCGGTCGTAAAAATTTAATGTTTCAGATCAAAATTTACACAAAACATTAGAAGTGGTTGAATGCCGATTTAGAGTACAAATCCGGAGTCTCTTTCTATGTAATATTTGTAATGAACTTTCTCCCGCGCACTAAAATAAAAGGTCGGCTTTAAATTTGGCATAGCAATTGAATAATTATTCTGCAAATGTTGGCATTGAAGATCGGCCACAAACGACACGTCTACAATGTTATATAGAATAAAATTAACTTTGTTGTTCGCGTTTTTTGCTAATTAAACGAATAGTTCTACAAAAATAGAAGATATCAGCCACGCCCATTCAATAACGTAGGGTAAAAAAAAGCAAGTTTCTTACTTACTTGGTTTGTTTTTTAAAAGGTAGAAAACGTAGTCTTTGCTCGTATTGTCTGAAATAAATTTAAAATTTTACATATCTTCACAATAGATTTTTCGAAATGAAGACAAGAGGTTCACTTAAAGGTAGAATAAGCACAAAGTGTTCAATTTATTTTTAACTGATTTGTTTTATGTACATAGATGAAATAATTAACTTCTCTGTGAAATAATTTTTCCACTTATTATCTCCTTTATTTATTTTCTTCCAGTTAACAACAATTAATAATAACATAATTTAAAAAAAAATCCAAGTAAAAAGAAGTTTACGATAACAAAGATGTTTTTCGTTTTAATTCCAACACAAGCGAAGACTCAAGTGGAAACTTGAAAAAAAAAGTAAAAAAAGAAGAGTGGAAAAGTAAGCCATGAAAGCGTGAGCCAGTAAAGCAAACAGTTAGGGCAAACAATAATAACAACAACGTTATAAATAAATGCTTGTAAAATAAATTTTGTCTAAATAGATATGCGCAAATAAAACGACGTGAACGACAGCAACTTAAATGCGAGCAATATCAATACACTTAGAATATCTGCGCATTTACTTCTATAAATACAAATATACATATATTATATGCATATACAATGTACATATGTATATATATGTGTATATATAGTTGTGTTTATGTATGCATATTTTTGTAAACAAAAATTTGTGCCTACTGTATTGCTAATGTCCTGAGCCGTGCGTTGCAAACGCGTTAAAAAGAAGTTAAAATAAGAAAAACCTAGAAAATTGTTTTTATTTCGGTTCTTTATTTTTATATATTCGCCAATTGTAATAAAAAAAAATATAATTGAAAATAAGGAATTAAAAAAATTGTCCCAAATTATCCGTATGTAAAAAAATTACATAAAGCTTCTTAAAATAAAGTTTTAATAAAAATATTAAAAATAATACAAATTAAAACAAAAAAAAAAAAAAATTGTAGAAGAAAAATATTAATAAAAGAGAAATAATTTATTGAAAACGAAATTGTTAAAAAATGATAACAGTAAAGAAATTGGAAAAAAAAAATTATAATAATTGACAGAGCAATTTGCGTGTTAAGTGCTTTTTATATAAAAAAAAAATGATAAATATCAAAAATATTAAATATAATTAAATAATTCTAATTAAAAAAAATATAAAAAAATGTAAATTAAATAAAAATCTTGCTTTAAGTTCACATAAATTAGAAAAAAGTAATATATACATAAAAAGTAATATATACATAAAAAATGTATATATACATAAATATATTTGCATACGAACACAAGCACAAACGTAAATAAATGCAGGCACACTCTTTTGCATGCAAGCACATAGATACTTATAAATACATATACATACATACATAACATACATATACATACATATACATACATAACATATATTCATATATATTCATATAAAAACACATATACAGACATGAACACACATATAAATATATATATATACATAATATACATATATATATATATATGTACATATACATACATGCATACTCAAATATATCGGAATGATCTCATTAAAAATAGAAAATGCATACAAATACTAAAGGAGACGATGACGAAAAATTGAATTTTAACATAATTTTTATAAAATTATCCTTTAGCCCAACAGCCAGGCAACGAACTGCAAACGACAAAGAGAAAAGTTATAAAAACCAAAATAAAGTACTTAGAAAATAATTAAGATCTAAGAAAAAGAAAACTAACCATCAAATTAACAGCGCGTTGTTGATGTCGTTATCTTTTTCCGAACGTATACTCAAAACCAGCGCGCGCTCTCTTTTTACTCGTATTCCTTTTCTACCAAAAAACTAAAAAAAAATTTTTGTCTTTTAATTTCTTACTACGGTGTCCTTCGTTTAATTTTACAAAATAGCAACAAACGCAAAAGCAATAATCGCCTTGAATATTAAAGCAAAACAAAGAAAAGAAAAAAAACTCTTTTTATCAGCGCATTTCACTATCACCAGTAGCAGTACGTCTGAAACCGCAATATCACAAATATTAAAAAAAAAGAGAAAATCAACATTAATCTTCAACGCTGTCTTTAAATATTTAATTCAAAAATAAAATAGAAACCGACAGCAAAACATCACCAGTTGCCGTGGAAGCATTATTTCAAGAAATTTTAAAACCAACAATAACTACTAAGAAGCAAAAACAGCAACAACAACAACATGCGTAGCTGTAATACGAGATATTAGTAAAAAGTTCTTTTTTACTAAATCCAATGCCATGGATATGAAGAAAATACCAAAACCACGGTAAGTTTTTACGATATATAAAATCCACCAACTTCGACCATGGTTCAAAAAATAAGATGAGAATGTGCTTCTTCCTATTCCTTTTGCTTTTTGTACTGATCTGAGTTTAATTTCCTACCGATAGGCCTTATCCTCTGCTATATGGATACACATATCAATTTTACAAAAAAGTCTGCCCCTTAGCGTTGTAAAGTTTTACATTCTTTTTTTATTCTCCTTATTTTTTCACTTAGTTGTAGGCCGAGATTTTCTTTTCTATTTTTTTTTCAAGAGTTTTTTAATTACTTCTTAAAAAAGTGCGCAAAGAAACGATAGTTGAAGAAATGTAAATAAATGAAAAAGATTTTGTAAAAACAAATTTAAAATTTTTAAGCGGAAAAGTGCAAGGGAAACGAAAAGATATGTTGTCAAGAGGAGGAAAGCGAACTGCTGGGACTTTCAGCGAACAGTAAAGGGAAACTAGAATGGTGCCGCATCAATTAAGTTCCTTTTCGCCTGTCTATTTGGTTAAATATTAAGGGTTAACTCGTGTTCGCAAAAAATTAATTGAAATTGTAAGGCAGCCTGCTTTTGCCGGCGAACCTTTTCACAGAGAAAAATTTGAGAGATGAAAATTCAATATTAGAAAAGCAAGAAAATGGTGGAAATTCGACTCTACTTTCAAGAACTTGAGGTTTCGCAACTATCCTGGACAAATTTTATCGTTCTTGTTATTATTTCGTTTTCAGTTGTAACAGTTGTGAAGTTCATGTCGATTCTATAAGTTTCTATTTAACCTGCTTTCTTCTCCGTCCGGAAATTTCCAATCGATATTTCAAGTATATCCATGTGCTGAAATTCCGCAAGCATTAATTTTGTTATATATATCAAATGACTTCCACTACAAAATCACGGCTTATAATTTTCTTAAGAATTGTCTCGATATGAGTATCAAATAGAAAAGCTTCGAGGATAGAATGTAACAAGCTAAACAAGTTAATTTTACGTTAAATACCGCGAAAGTCATAACATGAAAGAGTCCCCTTTTTTTACAATTTATGATTGACACATGAAAGCTTAAGGGATTTTTTAATAATAGTAAGCGTCCCAAGTTTTTGTTTTTATATATATTTTTTTGGGTAAGGTGGACGGCTGTCAGAAGAAATAGGAAATGGTATTTTTTTGAAAAAATTATTTACCGCCAGCTGGTATTCCTCCAGTTTTTACAGAAAAAAATGAATTCTGTACTAGGGCTACCAACAAAAGATATCGATTCGTATTGTTTCAATAGAAAATAAATTATCAATTGCATTTAATACTAATTTGGTAATTATAGCGGGAAGGGGAAATGTTCCAGTGGGCTGTCGCGAATTTTTTATGAGCGATTTTTTACATATGGAAAGGACTTTTGGACATATTGTGTTAGCAAGTGTCTCGTTTGGCTCTGGTAGATTAGAAATTCGTTTCGCTCATATATATTCCCCAAATAAGAGTACCATGCATATTGATACTTATCTTCAACGATAATTCCTAGTTTGTATGTTGATTACAAAGTTATCGCACGTTATAAAACATTCGTTTTTCATTACCTGTGACAACTCAGCAGCGATGAATCCGACCTTATTTAAAGGCGAAAAAGAATATATAGCTTATGTTTCAACGGGATGACTTATACCGTTGCAAGTGGTTTTGAGAGTAATGTTTGCAGATGGAAAAGTGGTCTTTAGGTTATCTTGAAAGAAACCTGGAATGGCTTATTCAATTCCATAATAATTCCGCTACAGATATAATAATGATACACGTAAACACCTTGTTCTCTTATATAGAAAACGTTCAAGCAATGTGCAAACCTATAAGCAAAGCGAGCAAGTCATAGGGTGTAATATCTTAGTTTGGATAACTGTATGAATTAACGTGTTTGTGTGTTAATTTATCAACAAAAAAACTGCAAAGACTCTCCTCACTTTTCCGTATGTTATTGAACGCTTTTAATAAACTTACTACTTACCACTACCATAATGCGGACAAACATATAAAATCTGTACAACTAAACTTATATACAAATGCTTGTGCACATTGTATTGACAAGTTAAAACACAAAGTTTCCTTCCGCATGTCCTTCCTTCCGTAGATACTTAAGCAAGATCCTTCTTTTCTATCAAGTTATTGTTGTACAACGAATGCTAGCTAACGTTACGTTATTGCAACAAGGGGGAGTGAAGTAAAATAATAGTGAAAAAAACAAATCAAAAAAGAGAAATGCTCTGCTATATATAAAAAAACACAAAACAAAAAAAATATATAAGTGGGACGAGAGGAATAAAGACGACAACAAATCAAAAAAGCGAAACGTATTAGAAAATGTGTAATGTGGAGTTAAACACGTGTTATGGACAGATATACGCCATTCGTTGCAGTGTCTGCGTCGCCTCGCTAAAATTTATATAATACTTAGCTATCGCCAATTTAATAAAAACAACCGCATACAGTTGTCTGCCTCTCCCCTTTTACCTACTTCATCACTTTTTGTTAAAAGAGGATTTCCATGAAGCAGAAAAGTTTAATAGGAACCGTACTAACCTTCTGAGAATTTCTTAATGATAAATAGCTTCGATTTTATATAAATTGAGTTGGTATGTCTTAAATTGGCCTAAACTCTTACCTGCGATAGAACTCAGAATTTGTGTGTACGAATGTTATTCATTTGATCGTAAAATTTTATTTTGCTTCCTCTGAATCGGCATAGACAATAGTAGTAAGAACATTCATTCACCCACATTTTAGGTTTGTATCGGCGCTTAGCTCATTGATAGTTGTAAGTTTAACTTCTGACAATAAATACTTTGAATTTTCTCACGTTCTTGCAGGAAAATATTACAGATGAGATGTTTACTTTTGTCTGCTAAAGAACATTGCTTTACATTCTCTTTTTCTTTCTTCTGCTTTCCCTCATTACTTGTTCTCTTTCTTTTTGTTGTTTGTTTGTAGTTTGTATTCCGTATGCACACTCGAAAGCAAAATAAGAGTAAAGCTATTTTTAACTTGAACCCAATGGTTTGTCATCCATTACATAAAGACCATTAATAAAAAAATCTATTATAGGAGACGTACGGTATGGGTGTTGATTTGAAATATATATATTTTCATTGTCAACTAAATATAGCTGAATACATTATAATAACCTAAGTGTTCTTTTTTTTTTTAATGTGAAAGATAGAATGGTTCTTTTCTTGTTTTTGGATATAGTTCATTCTATTGTTAATTAAAAATGATCTTATACAAATGATCGCCTTTGGACTTTTGTCAGAATTCAATCTTGGAACAAATATTTTTGCAATTTTTCTACATAAATCTGCTCGTTGAGTTCACCAACAACGCAAATAATTTTGGTAAGTCATCATTGAGAATTCATGGGTTACTGTATCCATTATAACTCCAAAGTAGAATATCCAATAGTTTTATGTCGCGTGATCCTCGTGGCAAGTTCGCATAAACATTTTTGGAGATTACGTTGTCTTTGAACTCTTCTCGCGCCACGAGATGTATTCCATTTTGCAACATTTTGTTAAAAACACTTATCGTGCCAGTTGAAATCATATAATTCGTGGCGTAAAACGTCAGTAATCATCCTTCTATAGTGTTATCCATTGAAGGTAACTGCAACGCCATTTTCATCATTTTCATGTTCAAAAGAGACACTTTCAATCGGCAGATGTGATCTCTTTCCGCTAAAGGGACAATATTTCTTAATTATGAAGCCATTTGGTAAATATAAGTGTCAACCCATCTGTACGAAACCTACTCATTGAATTCGTAATAATTCTTGACAATTTCTGTACGCTGTACAACTATGCCCGCATTATATATCCCAAACAATGACAAGGTCCATACACTATATTGAAAAGCAATTTGAACGAAATCTTTATCAGAAGTGCATTTTATTTGCGTTTACTTTCAGAACTACGAAATGCATGACCCCATAATTATAATGATATATATGCAAACTTGGGAAAAGTCTCGTTTATATATAATATAAGTACTGTTTTCTTATTAAAGAACGCGGAATGCTTCCGATATTAGAGTTGATTATACTGTCTTTAAGGATTTTAAAATTCTTTCGTCTATTTTGGTCATCCGTTTGAAATCCAAAAATCATTTGAGTAATATTATTTCGGCACACTAAATTCATGTGAAATATTTCAGACAAAAAGGCCAATACTATGTTTCTATGAGAAATAAGCCTTTATATGGTAAAACAATCGACATTATAATGTTTTCTGTTAAAAAGTGGAGCGCAGGAATAATTTAACATTTACGTAAATTCCAGGAAATTTACACCACATAGTACGTCTCTTTTAAGGGTTCTCATGAAAAATTCTTAATCTAATTTTAATTTAGTTTCTAAAGCTATTTGTTAAAAAAATTTTATGAAAAGTAGAAAAAAAAGCAAATAGTCAAATCTTTCATATTTTATGACGAAAATAGATGAAGAATAATAATACCTTTAAAAAATGTATTTTGCTAAATTTGCACTACGTTATACCATTATTTAAGCTCGCTCCAACCGCTATAATGTGAATGCTGCCAAGCAAAGCATGCCCTTACAGGAAAACAATGGATAATTTTGGTATATCATCAGAAAAATAAATGAAGAATAATATATGTCGGTGTAACGGAGAGTATTTTATGGTCGGCTATTTTCACACTATAGAAGTTTTTTGATTAGTATTGTAAATGGATGATATAAATCGAATTATTTGCCATAAAGAATTCTCCAAGCTGCGTTCTTCAATTTCACACAAATCGATTACATTTCTGTATGTTTCTTATTACCAATTGTTCGCAACATTATGGTTATCGTCGACTCCAGTTACGCTTTTGCTTGCTTACCATTTTATTTTTCATTTTTTAATAGATCTAATTATCTTCTGACACGAAACTTAATTTAACACGAGTTGAAAGGGAACAATTTCCGTTTTACACGAATTTTTTTGTTTTCCCATTATTTTTCCTAGATTTTT